TGAATGTTGAAAAAAAAACCCGATTAATTCTGAGCAGTTTGCTTCTTTACTGATTTCATGTTGTTTATTTTTCCATGATTTATTGTGCTTCAGGCGGTCTTCATGCCGAACGTCTTCGTGCAATTCTTGTGATTGCAAACAACGTATTGGTAATTCTCAAATATGGTGCTTCAGGGCTTTGATTTCCATCTGAAATAGATTTTGCGTGCAATATTGAAGATTCTGTCTTCTATTTTGATTTGCTGACAGATGATTTATGTAATGCTGAATGGTTCTATGTGATCTTAAGTGCTGGCACATTGTTGTAAGTATTACTGCCAATTTTCTGTACGGCGCTGCTTGTGGTTAATAATATCCTTGTGCAAATAGGCTAAGAATCTAGGATTAATGTCACTCCAATTTTTGAATTTATTTGTTCATGTTAGTTTTTAAGCTTATCTTGATAGGTCCAATTTAGAAGAGTAGCCATGTGAGTAAGGTGGAGTCCTTAAGAGATCCCCAGTGAGGATTTTTCGTACATTGGTTCTTCTAATGATTTTGACATCAGTTTTTGTTCTAGTAATTTGCATATAGTGTGTTGGTCTAATAATTTGATTTTTTTTTCTGCAATTTCCCATTCTCCCATCTTTAGTTTGTAAATTGTGCTCATAATGCACTTTCTTAATTCCCACAGTTTAAATTGCGTTAAACAATAAATTGAAATTAAAATTTCCTTTGGGACGCTAGATGGCCTAATCATAAATTGCTGTTTTTCACCAATGGGTTTAGATAGGAGATTATTTGAAATATTATTTACAATACTTACTGTAAAACTTTTTACAATGTAGTGTATATAAGATAAACAAGTGATTGAAAAAAATAAAATGGTATGTCAAAAAATTATATTCGTGATATAAGTAAATATTTTTTGATAAATAATTCCTATCCAAACATTACCGTTACATATTAAATTACTCATTCGTACGTATAAAATGTATCTTGCTTTTGACTTTTCTGAGTCTGCATAAGTGTGTGTGTGTGTATATATGTATATATATATATATTCGAATGTATGAACTAATATATGTGTTCCTTTTCGTGGCTTCAGGTTGGAATTTGCAGCTGACAAGTTAAGGTATGTCGCATTGTTGTCTAATGAGATAGGTTCATGTCACTAAGATGTTAAGAATATTGCCTAATCTCTATCCATGGCCCTTTTTTTTTTTTTTTGTGTGTGGATGAACATGGTACGTCTCTTCAATCATCAACACCCCCCTCCCCAAAAAAAAAAAAAAACACACAAAACACAAACCCAAAAAACAAAAACCAATTTTTATTTTGTCTTTTGGGAGTTGCTTTCGTCTTTTGCCATCGTTCTTGCAATAAAAAGTGTGATGAGGCTGTTGTGCTAGTGCTTAACTCTAGCTATTTGTATATGAAAAATGTTAAAGGGCAATATATAAGTGTTTTACATAATTACATGCTAGTCTTTTAGTAGTTAATACTCGTTCTAGGTAGGTGTTGGGGCTTTGCCGAGCTTACATAAATAGAAACCAAGAGAGAAACATCAATTATTTTCTTATTAATAGCCACATGATTTTTTTTACATTCTTGATTTTTGTGTTCCATACTAAGTTTAGCTCCTGTAAGTCGATCTGTACTGTACATTGGGCAATCAAGATTGATGCTTTAGAGAACTCGTTGAAAACAAGAAAAATCTTCCGTTGGATGTAAGTAAGACAACCTCAATTTTTTAGTTGGATCTGAAAACAAGAAAAAATTTTCGTTGGATGCTAATTTGTTACGTTCTCATAATTTAAAAATAATTCCCTTTTTCTTAAACAAAAGATTTATGAAACTGAAACTGACAATCTACATTTTTAATAGTACATGTGCTCTTTTGGCAAGTTGACATTCTTTGTTTTTTTTTTGTTTTAAATAATTTTTTTTAAAAAACATCTACTTCATAATATCTACTGTTATTTCGTGGTGGAATCAGGAAACGTCCGAAAGGGAACGGGGACACCAGAGAGGTGACTCCAATCTCCTAGCTGCTGCTGAATACATTTTCGGTTTATTGATGAAGCCAGCTTAATTATGATCTCCACCTGTGCAAATCGATAAATGTGTTTGGATTTTGAAGGAGAAAGAACAATAGATACTTGTTGTTTAAGCAACATGCTTCCTAGTTTGTTATGTTATATAACTCCAAAGCTTCTATTTAAATTCTAGAGCACATTTCATACCTCAATTAGCTATACCATTGTATTAGATATATGAGTTGCATTATTAATTGCTACAAATCTGAATTGCAAACTTAAAAATCAGTAGTATCATTATTATTATTATTTTTACATATTCGATTGGATCTTACAATCCTATCATCCGATTGTATAAACTGCAGCTCAAAAGAATTTTGGATGGGATCTCGGTTTCGAAAACCTTGTTTCAAAGCTACTATTCATGAATGTCTAATTTGGAAATGACCAATCCTAAATTATGAGTGTGCTCAAAGTTTACAAGAACTGTGCTAGTTAGTCCAAAGGTTGAGTGAAACTATGTGAGAATTGAGGGGGTGAGGGTTTGATAAATGGGTTTCAACTCCTACTATGGGTTTTAAATACAATTTTACCCATAAATGATGCTTGTTTGGGGCCAATAAATCAATGGGAATGACAGGCTTCTTCTATGGATTTTTTTGATTAACTATCTCTCACTAGGGAATCATTTCAATTACCCATGTTATTCTCCTTAAATGTAAAAATAAGAAAACAAAATGCCATCTTACTTATCCATCTTATATTCTACTTAACTGTAAAACTAAGAAAACAAAGTGCTACCATTTCTGCTGGTTTCAACGAATGGGAAAAAAGAGGAAGAAGAAACAATGAAAGAGAAAATAATAAATTGTAAAACCATTCCACGTTAACGAACACACTATGAGTTTTCATCAAAATGCATTATCAATTATAATTGACCACTTTATGATATCGATAGTGATAGTGATCGTGGAATTCAAACCAAACGGATCCTAAAAGAGATAAAAGGGTTCTTTGAAGAAAAAAAAAAGGAAAAATGGAGATGAAAGAGTGACAACAATTAACAAACTAACACAGTAAAAGTACAAATGTAGTATGTACGTCCACCGTGAAACTCTAAGCCGTTTGGTGTTCTTCATATCCTAGTACAAATACTCAATAAGTGCTTTAAAGACTTCAATCTTGGTGTTGAGTAATGGCATTGTTCTGCAGTGTCCTTTCTTTCTATCCAAACATCGAATTCCCTAATTTTCCTACTTTGGATCGAGTTCTATTTGCAATTCTAATTAGTACAAGGTATCATGTCCTGGTCCAATGACTAAAGGATGAAGGTGTATATCAATTCAATTTAGAGGACTGTAAGTATTTTTTTCCCCTTCTTTTTCTTTTAATTATTGGCATCTTTGGAAATATGTTGTCAGCTTAATACAATTGCTATTACTTATTTGTGATACGGGAAAGCTAGTTTTAATTTCTTTTTTTAATAGATATATATCCCTTTGAGTTAGAAGGTTCTTTTCTTTATAAGCAAAATCCTGGAAACCATAATGTTTTCTAGAAGTAGTTTTCGTAGCTTTAGTCCCTCAAACTTAGTTACTATATATTAACATTGTCCATTGAAAGAATAGCTTGTATTATAAATTTCTTGAATACGATGTTACATATGAGATTGCTGTAGTGGCTCTTATAAGATTACAATTTAAAGTTAAATTTATTAAAAGAAAAGTCCATGGGGTCATGAGATCTGAGTTCAAATCTCTCATTTCTAACCTAACTTTTTAGGTTTCAACCGTCATTTGAAAAGATACAATTCCAGGCATGTTTCTAATGGTTAATAACTTTTTAGAAAACATGAAATCTTATTTTATATTTATCAATTTATGGTCTTTTGGCTGTAGACAAAAAGATCTACAAACTCTATAAAAATTTCTGCTCTTCTCTTTTTTGTTCTTTGGAGATTGTAACAATTTAGTCAAAGTTTTGCAATCAAAGTTTATCTTATCCTAGAGAATATTTGTTCTTAATCTTTAGCACTATATAGTGGACGAATAAAGCCTTAAGAAAAGTAATTTACAAGCATGATTTGAAGCCTTTTTCTAATTAATTTTACAGTCATTTCATAATATTCTCTTTGTTGTTGTTCGAACATGCATTGATCTATAGTATTTGTACATTTATACAAAAGCTGGAAAAGCTCAACCAACTTTTGAGCAGAATATCGAGTTCGACCTCAATTCCCGAAACCCCTCAGACTAGTTAAGCTTGAGTTGAGCCTTTGACTGCTGATTGGCAAATCTAGCTATTCAATGGTGGTAAGCTTGAGCACCTATTAGATAGGTCCAAACAACATCTTTGATGTGCAAAATGAGGTCATGATTTGCGAGTAGGACGACTAGGAGAACTAGGATCTAGTTTGATTGGCCTCTTATTCTCTTAATCATCATGTTCATATTTTCTGTTGCATTTGGTAAATTCGGTTCGGTTCTGGCAAGGCAGGTTGTGAATAAGGGACGACAACGGTACTGTCCTTTGTGTAAACTGTATTTGAGGAATTGATACTCCAGTACTCAAAATTTCCTTTTCTTTCTTGGAGAAAAAAAACTAGCAAACATGAAATCCTGCAAAATAATTGTTTCAAGTTTGCAAAAGATGATGGATTAAGATTCAGGAGTGGAAGTCCAAGTTTGCTACCTGTTAAAGAAGCACTTATAGAGCAGTTTGCTTGGCGGTCAGTACTCTGAGGATAGAAATGAGATTAACTGGGCTAGTCTTTTTACTCTTTTGCTGCAAAGGCACTTCCAATTGTAGTTGCACAGTTCTCCTGGCAGATGAAACTACTGAATCCTTGGTATGTTCAACTTTGATCATCTCTAGCTTCTTCATTTAAACAAAGTCAGATGGGACCCTTTCTAGTGTTTTGCACTGCTCGAGAATAAGGCATCTGAGTTCTGGAAAGTCATTGGCCTTAGCATCCCAACGCGCTTAAATCCGTAGCTCCAATGAAGAAACTTTCAGAGAAGGAAAACCCCCTCGCTTAGTCTTCCAATAATCTCCCTTAAAAGCATAGTCCTTCAACGTGAGCACGTCAAGATTCCCAAGGTTCCCCAGTATAGACATGTAATTCCAATCTAGACTTGTGTTGTGCAGACTCAGCCTTGGAGGGAATTTGTGTGCCTGAGGAAGGGTAAGCAGCTTGGAGTTTACATCATCACCATATAGCTTCAAATTTTCAAGGGAGTCCAGTTCGCAAAGACTGTCAGACAAACTAGACTCGCCATTGCCCTCCACAAGATTGTTTAACTTCCCACATATGCCAAGCTTCTTAAGGTTTTTAGCCCTTTTAAACACATCTTTTGTAAGACTTTCAGGTGAAACGGTAGATAGAGTTTGTAGGTTTTCACCGCCAGGAGATTGCTCCAGACATTTAGGCACGGTTGTGAGGTATTAGTATGTAGATGCCTTGGTTTTGTCATTGCCCAAATATCTGCTTGTATGTCAAGGGTAGGGGATGTGGTGTGAACAACAAGAGTTTGCAAGTTAAGTAGGCTAGGAATTTTTTGGGGAAGGATATTGACCTAACAACAGATGGCAATGAATTTCAGGAGAACAAGGTTAGGCAGTTGGGTTGGAAAACGATGTCTAGGGAGCTTTATGACAGAATATCCAGCGCTCGGAATAGATTGAACTGCTTAAATACATTTGGGCAGAGATCTTGATTAAGTGTAGTTTATTCCTGACCACAGCTCAAGAATGAACGGACATTCTGAGCAAGCTGTTGATTGGAAATGTAGTTCGCAAATTGAGAGTTAATGCAGAATAGGCGATGGCTGGAAGATGAAACCGTCCCCATGTCACATTCATGGAAAAGATTTTCAGCTTTTGCTGTCCTTTTGCAGAAGTCACGCAGTGTATCATGGACTAAACACGTCTTAAATCCGACCACTTAAGGTTCTCTGCCTCACTATCACTAAATTCTTGTCAACCAATTCCCGCAAACATTGCTCTGCTATTTCCTCCATGCCTGCTTTCTCAATTTGGGGAATGAAGCCTTCCACTATCCACAATTGGAACAATTTTGAAACTTGGATCTCCAAGACTTCAGGGAAGACACCAAGGTAGAGAAAACACGACTTGTACATGTGACGCAAGTTATCATAACTCCGTCTTATTAAATCATCCATTAATTGTTTTTGGGTATCACTATCTAACTCATCCATGCTAAGTGATTTTTGAGCCACAGTCTCCACCACTTCTCGTTTTCTGGATCATTCCTCAAAATACCTGCTGTTACAACTTACAACATTGCTAATGTAGCCGGCCATATTTTTTCAGAATTCTTGATTCAGCAGGTCACAGCTTCTGTGGACATTCATTTCATTGAAAATCTTCGTCCTCAGTAATTCTTCAGCTTTTTCTTGCTTCATAAATCGCAATGGATAGGGATCAGTCTTTGTTGCAGCACGCTGGGCCACAGACACTTGTGGAGTAATTATCAACACCCTACTGCCCTTGCTATAATCTGGAAAAGCATCCTTGAGATCTTCCCATGCTTTTGTGTTCCAAACATCGTCCATGACAATCAAATACTCATACTTCAGTGTCTCTCGGACCTTGGGAACTAAAATCCTTCACAGACATGTTATGATCCCTAATGTCCTTGATGAAGGCACTTAGTGCACTAAGAAGCACTTCTTTCTTGTTGTAATCCTTCGAAACACTGACAAATATGCGAGCGAAAAAATGATGTTCGACTTGGGTCATTCTCTTGCAAGCGGCGTCTTCCCGAGTCCAAGCATTTCATGAATCGACACTATTTCAAGTGAGTTTTCGTCACTATGTTGCTCTGCCTCCGATGTGCTCTGCTCGTTTCTGTCGGACCTGCCTAGGTCTAGTTTTGGTACGCCAAGAAGATCCAGTACTGTCAGTTGCATCCTCAAACCCAATGATTCTGTCTACCCATTGATTGCTTGCAGGCTATTTGCGTGAAAGTAAAGGAATCCATGACGGATTGAAACAGTTGAACCAGGAGATATGTATATATATATGTATTAAGGGCTGGATCTTTGAACACGCATATGTGTGTGTGTGTGTATATATATATATATATTCTTCCCACAGATTTGGCCCCCAAATATACAATATTCTTTTAGATTATTATCCATTGCAATTGTTTTGAAGCTATTCACATACAACATTGAATGGGATTTGAACAAGATTTAACTTTAGAAAGTCTAAAAAAAAAAAACTCAAAATAAATACACAATCCTAACGAAACTTCTCTTTACATAACAGTGGTATCAATCTAAGGATACTGCCTCCATTGGTCATAGACCCTAGTTTCGTCACTATCTAATAATCTGTATATGGCCCATGAAGGTCAAGGTATGATGCTCCAAGATCAAATTTTGCAAATTTTCGACTAGTTTTCTTGACTTTTTGATCAATCGGTTAATTGCACAAACCATAGATAGCATGTCTCTAGCCATATTCATGGTGTTAGAAATCAGCTTTAATTAGTCAGTTCACTTCAATGTCTGACCGATTGTGCCAAAATCAATTAGGATTCTCAGATTTTCTTTTCATGCCTGCATGTGGGTTCTTTTTTTGGTTCCTTATAAAAAAGAATGGCATAACTGAACCCTATTCATGGTAGAAGCGGATATAGCTCAATTTGTCCGAGAGAACATTTTTGCTTTCAGATTATAATTACTTAGCATCAGCCATGGAATTTCTTGATAACGTTGTATTGTGTCAGAACAAAAGTTTCATATTCCTACAACCTAATGGTGTTGAGACCTTTTAGTGAGGTTTGTGCTAACTAATCAAATCACAATGAAAAGAAGCTTCCCTCCATCTCGGTTGAACCAACATGGCTTCTTATACGGGGAATTCTTGAAAATTTTGTTCATCGAATCAGCCAAATTTGTCAATGAGAGTAATCTGGATGCCTTCGGTTTGTCCATCTTCCCTGTTCTAGAAGAGTTTACCTTGGTTCATCGTGAAGATTATCCGAATAGAACCTCGTGCAGGTATCAGAATGGTCGTGGTCAAGTACACAACTGCCAAATCATAATTTCAGGATCCTGTCTCACAAAATTTAGATACGAGTCTAATAACTTCAGAGAAAACAAAGTTGATTAATGATTTAGGTCTTTGATGAAATTTTGCTTGACATTAGTGGTTTTCCTACAGAATCCAACGGTCATTGAAAATTATAGGGTATTACGGAGGTTGTAATTGAAAATTAGTGGTTCCTCGAAACTGCATGTTTCAGTCCTGCTGATGGCTTTTCCATTCTTGATGCTACTGACAAACTTGGCGGTAAATTACTATCTGATTTGTTCATGCAAACCATGAATGAAATACTGATAGGGTGTTAATTGTTGGTTATTTTATTGTTAATTTTCTCCTTTATCCTTGTCAAATATTATTTTAATTATTAATATTTACTTATATTTGGTATTGGACTCAATTTTAGGAAGTGAAACAGAAAATTACCAAAAAGGAAGGACTTGCTCCATAAGTGGGAGACTTAAGAAGAAAGTCCCATGGACTTGGCCCACAAGAGGAGACGGATTGCCTTGGTCTTTGCTCCTGGCTGACTAGTAGCCGCAGACCAAGAGTCCTAAAACATCAACGGAGCTTTCTTCTTGTATTTCTTTTAGCTTCCCAATTTCGGTGGGGACCACGAGAGGAGAAAAGGCTTTTTCTTCATTTGGCCTTTAAGAGAAGTAACGTACAGAGATGGGAAACAAGAAGCAATTCGGCAGGACCCACCTTGTGGATTTGGTTTTCTCTCAATTCGGCAGAGTTTCCTTCTTGGACTTTGACTCTCAATTCGGCGGGATCCACGCACTAGGTGAGGCATTAGTCCTCTTTGGCTTTAAAAAGAAGTACACGTATGGAGATGAGGGGATGAATACTTTTTATCTTTAGTTCTTATCGAACCTTTAGGATAGTTTTAGTTTTTCGTTTCTTTCTTGGCTCTTTTGATGGCCTGGACCTCAGTGGAATTATTTGAAGATTTTCTCATGAGACGTGGCTAAGTTTGTCTAGTCAAGAACAACAGAGGATTTGGTTCTACTAAATTTGTGAGATCGAATTAGTTTTTATTTATTTTCATTATTCACTGGTATTTGTCTATTTTCTACTTTATGTTCATATGGTTGTTTTATTATTCGATTATCCAGGGTCCGGATTCTAGATTAATTCAATAACCTGAAGCCAATTAGGGTAGTTAAATCCGTAATTGTTTAATTATTCTAAACTGGTGGTAACTGGCATGATTGGATTTGTGTCAGGGAGATAGACAGGCTAACTTAAAGAGACCCTCGTAGCGTGTTGATTGGTTAGAATTAGGCTCTTCTAATTATTCATGCAATTAGGGAATTAAACTTCTATGGTCGTACCTAGGGTTGTTTCCTGATTAGAGAAATAGTCAACGGTCGTACCTTGGCTATCGACAAATTGAGGAAAAGTTAGTTGTTTATCGCGTGTATGACAACTATAACTAATTTATCAGAAAGTAACTGGAATAATCCTTGTATCTGTGATCAAATTAAGTGAACCATCTCCGAAGTTGTCTCTTGGCTAGAGTTCGTCAATTATTATTTTTATTGTAATAATTAGTTATTTGAGTTGTAGTTATTTTATTTTATTTTAATTTATTCCAAGTAATTTAGTTACTCTCATTTTCAAAAACCCCCCATACTTCGGACTCTAAAGAAATAAATTATCTCCAGTCCCTGTGGATTCGACCCTACTTATCACTATCTACAGAAAGTATATTTTATTTGAGCAAGTATTTATTATTGAACAGGTTCGGCACCTGTCAATTTTTGGCGCCGTTGCCGGGGACTGGTGTCAGATTAATTTGTTTCTTTTTGAGTTCACCTTGTTTTCATTTTTAATTTATTTTTCTCTTATTTATTATTATTTTTTTATGGCTGCTAACATTCCATATTTTGATGATAGACCGGATTTTGTTCCTGAATGGGGTTATGAGACTCATGTTTTTCCTAATGATCAATGGGCTGTTGCAAATTGTGAAACTTATTTTGACTTAGGTTATTCAATTGACACATGTCCCGCATTTCAAGATAATCTAAGTGCTCCAATTGATACTTTTGGAGATTTTCCATCTCGATTTCAAACGTGGTATGACCCTTATCCAAACAGGTATGATCAAGGATGGTGGGATAATTTCAATTTTAATTATGCGACGGGGCCAATGGATTTTTAACAGCAACAGTCTCAGCAATCATCCTCCGTGTCAGGTATGTCTCTTGAAGGAATGATGGGATTACTAATTGCTAATACAAATCGATTTCATCAGGAGACACAAGCGAGCCGTCGCGACCTGGCCGATCAAATGCGTCAATTGACATCCAGGATAGAGCGATTAGCTTCTCACCTTGAAGAATTGCCCTCACAAACCAATATCAATCTTGAAGGAGATGAGAGTGCAATTATCCGGCCAAATGACATGGAACTGCAAGAGTTTCAAGGAAACGGATTTAAAGATGCAGTTGAAAAGGAAGTTGAAGTGCAAAAAATGAGACTCCAGGATCAACTCATTCAAGTGAATGAATCCAGTGAACAATCTCCAAATGCGGTGCCATCCCCTCCACTCCTTTATCACTATTCTCCTGACTCTTACTCTTCAATTCCTGTTAATGAAATTGACTTTATTATACCAGACAATTTTGAATTTCATGACAGGAATAAATTAAGAGTGGCGATGGTAAGATATCTTGTACCAATAAATGCAAGTAAGGGAGGAGTGAATGGAGAATGCAAATTATCATCGACTTGTTTAGCACCATTTACTAGTCCATGGAAGCCCGCAATTCGTGTGCTCAAAGATTACTCCATCTATGAGGGTTACCAGGATCACGTTGAAGATGAAGCATTGAAGCGAGCCACAAGATTTTATCCCCCGTGAACAAGCATAGCATGTCTAGCCAAAGACATTAAAAGAAAGGCGCTACTCGGGAGGCAACCCAAGACTATTTGTTTCAGTTTTCATGCATTTTTGAAGTTTTTGTTAAGTGTTAGTTGCATTTAGTGATTTGTTGCTTTTGTGGCAGGAAGCTGACAGTTAGACGTGTCCTCGCCAGGTGGTCACGCCTGAGGGAAAGAAATTCTCGTTCAGGATCTGCGGACTCTATAGCGGTTGAGCGTGCCCACGCCTAAGACAGGAGTTCCTTCAAAAAAAAAAATTTAAAAATTTTATTATTACAAAAATAATTAAAAATAAAAAATAAATTCAGCAATTTCCAATTGGGACGATTTACATTAGCGTAAGTTTTTACAAAAAAAAAAAAAATTCCCCTTTTCTCTTTTCTTTTTCTTCTTTTTCTTTTTCTTTCTTTCTTTCTTTGTTTTTTCTTTCTTTCTTTTCTTTTCTTTCTTTCCTTTTCTTCCTCTTCTTCCCCGCTTCCTTCTTCTTCTTCTTTTCTTTTCTTCTTCACCCGACAACCCCAGCTCCCGCCGCCACCCACGGCCTGCTCCATCACCGTACGCCTCCTCCAGCTTCGTCCGCCGCACGCCGCGGCTCCCTGTCCCATCGCGCGCAGCTCCTCCTAGCTCGCGCGCTCCACCGCCACCAGGAGCTTGCTGCGCCTCTCTTCACTGACCAGCTGCGCCGCACCACCAGCTCTTCAGCCTTTTCACCTGCGCGAGAAGCCGCCGCCTCAGCTCGCCACCCCGCCGCTGCCATCGCGACAGCCCACGAGCCCCGCCTATTTCTCCCTCTCTCTCTGCCGCACGTCACCTCCACCCCAGCTCATCCGCCTCGCGTGCACCTCCTCCGTCGCGCCCAGCTTCACCCGCCGTCGCCCTCCCCAGCTCCACCTCTGCACCTCAAGCTCCACCGCCAGTCCACACAGCGCATGCCACCTGTCAAAGAATTTGACAGGTGGAGGTATTGAATTCTTCCCCAAATTAGTTTCACTCTCTGAGAGTTGTGGTTGAATTTCTTGATGGATAAACGAAGGTGATAATTTGGGCATTTTCTAGGGTAAATTTTGAACAGAGTTGGGTTTAATTGCTGACATAGTGGGGAATTTATTATGCTATTATTTGAATTTTTGACCGGTTGATTAATTTTTCCCTATAACTCGCCAGTGGTACTGGTTGATTAATTTTAAAGTTTAAGTTCTTGCGGTTGTGTTGCTGCCATTGAATTTAATTCTTTCCTGTCTGTGCACCAGTGGTACTGGTTGCAGTGTTGCTTTCCATTTCTTAATCCTCTGTGCTGGCCTGCCTATTTGATTCTTGAGTTTTGGTGCCTGAACTGTTCTCGAATTCTAACCATTGGTTGTTGCCATTGCCTGTTGCTTGGCCCAATTGCTAAAGTTTTGATCGTTTGAGTTGGGTACTTGACTGTCCAGTTGGAGATAGTTGTTGAAATTTTGGGTGGATTTGTGTCCAATTGCTGAAATTTGTTGCTTGGTTTAGTCACTCACACTGCTCCTAGTTTGTTCGAGTGAAATTGGTTGGACGTTCCTTGCCCGTGGAGTTAATTGTTACATTGTTTGGGGTGATTTTCTAGTATTAATCGAATTGTTGGGCATTATTTGGGGTTTTGGCTGCTGGAGACCCCTATTGCACCCTTAGTTGAGTAATTTTCTGGGTTGGGTTGTTGAATTAGTATTGCCATTGGTTGACTCTAAGTACCTTGTTTGGGGAGTTTTCGGTTTTGTGATTTCCATTGCTAAGCTCATTGGAGCACTTGCAGAGATTTTGAGTTGCATTATTTATGCATTGACTAATATTCGGACCACCATTGCTTATTGTTTGTCATAACTTCTTTGTTGAGACTTTCGCCTAGTCCTTAGGTGCCTGAAGTTTCCATTTTGTTGATTGGGGTGGTCCTTTTTGTTACTTCATTATCTGTGCGAGGCACCAGTGGTACGGGTTGGGGTATTTTGACTGCATTTGTTCATTCTCCTTGGTTGGCTGCTTGATTGAAAGCTTAGAGCTTGTGACTAAGTTGTTATTGATTAAATTCTAACCTGCTATTACTGGACTTGCTGAATTTTAGGGGACATTTGTTGCGATTTTGGGTAGAATTGGATTCATTTGTTGAGATTTGTTGATTTATTTAGACTCTATTACCGCTTCTAGTCTGTTTGATCGCCATATTCGTTGGAATTGACTTTGTTCAAGCACATTGTTGGACGTCCTCGGCCATTGATTGAAACTGCTGCATTGTCTGGAAATTTGCTGGTTTGATGTTCTCTGTTGCACTCTAGTTCGCCTGGATCAAGACGCATGTCGGAGCTCTCCTTCCCTCTACAATCGTTCACTGCCGCGCACTACCGTAGCACCATTTTCACTCCACCGTTCCGACCTATTTCATAGCCGCTCGAGACCTTCCATCACGTATTCAGGGAAGTGTAGTTGTCCTATTCGCTTTCTTTACTTTATGATCTCCATTGAGGACAATGTCGGATTTAGGTGTGGGGGTGAGAGCTGTGGTACAGCTGGTATTTCTGGTGTTCAGCTTTTAATTTTTTTCTTTTCCTTTATTTTCGTTGTTATTTGTTCTATTTTTCGTTTATTTCCTTTTCTTTCTTTTTAGTGGTCAGCTCTTCTATGACTACCAAGTTTTGATGCTGGATTGTTGCCTCTAATTTTGCTATTGCCAAGTTTTATTAATAAAAGGGTATGAAGTTAATATGGTTGAGTTCAGGGACATCGCTTTGATGAATATCAGTAATTGCTTAACTTTTCCAATTTTTGGTTAACTTTTCTAGGCATAAAGAATGATTGTTGGCATTTTTCTTGTGAAGTGGTCCAATTATTAATTTTAGTTCTCCATCTTTGGAAATTTGAGGCTGGCTGCTGTTATTTTTATGTTATTTTTAGTTATTGTGCTATATGGTTATAAATAAGAGTTGACTGTACTCCGTTAGTGATTACTACTGAGTAACCGGGAATTTTCACCTAAAGTGTCGATTTTCGCATCAAAAGGTAGTAGTTGCTATGAGTGCGTGGTCCCGTAGCGATTGGAGCTGAGTAACCGGGCTCCTCCATCTGTCAAATGTTGGAGTTCGCGTCAAAAGGCTCTAAGGGCTATAGACTAAGTCTTTTGTCACTGGTAAAAAAAAATAAATAAATAAAATAAAATAAAGATTGTGTTAGTATGTGAATAAGTCAGCTTGCCGGTTTGTGATCTTCATGTCGAGATTTTGGTTAATAGTTGGACCATTTGCTGATAAATATGAGCAACCATTCCTTTTTCTTAGATTAGTTTGCTTTAAATTGGAGGAGTTGGTGGTTGAGAAGCTAACCGGAGTGATTTTTCTTGGATCTTAACTGTGATACTTGATATATATTTTTCTGGGTATCTTGGCAATATGATAGTTAGAGCAAAAGTCATTGTCAAATTTTGGTGTTCAATTGCTGTTCTTATGCTTGAGGGCAAGCATGATTTAGGTGTGGGGGGAATTGATAGGGTGTTAATTGTTGGTTATTTTATTGTTAATTTTCCCATTTATCCTTGCCAAATATTGTTTTAATTATTTATATTTACTTATATTTGATATTGGACTCAATTTCAGGAAGTGAAACAGAAAATTACCAAAAAGGAGGGACTTGCTCCATAAGTGGGAGACTTAAGAAGAAAGTCCCATGGACTTGGCCCACAAGAGGAGACGGATTGCCTTGGTCTTTGCTCCTGACTGACTAGTAGCCGCGGACCAAGAGTCCTAAAACATCAACGGAGCTTTCTTCTTGTATTTCTTTTAGCTTCCCAATTTCGGTGGGGACCACGAGAGGAGAAAAGGCTTTTTCTTCATTTGGCCTTTAAGAGAAGTAACGTACAGAGATGGGAAACAAGAAGCAATTCGGCAGGACCCATCTTGTGGATTTGGTTTTCTCTCAATTCGGCAGAGTTTCCTTCTTGGACTTTGACTCTCAATTCGGCGGGATCCACGCACTAGGTGAGGCATTAGTCCTCTTTGGCTTTAAAAAGAAGTACACGTATGGAGATGAGGGGATGAATACTTTTTATCTTTAGTTCTTATCGAACCTTTAGGATAGTTTTAGTTTTTCATTTCTTTCTTGGCTCTTTTGATGGCCTGGACCTCAGTGGAATTACTTGAAGATTTTCTCATGAGGCGTGGCTAAGTTTGTCTAGTCAAGAACAACAGAGGATTTGGTTCTACTAAATTTGTGAGATCGAATTAGTTTTTATTTATTTCCATTATTCACTGGTATTTGTCTATCTTCTACTTTATGTTCATATGGTTGTTTTATTATTCGATTATCCAGGGCCCGGATTCTAGATTAATTCAATAACCTGAAGCCAATTAGGGTAGTTAAATCCGTAATTGTTTAATTATTCTAAACTGGTGGCAACTGCATGATTGGATTTGTGTCAGGGAGATAGACAAGCTAACTTAAAGAGACCCTCGTAGCGTGTTGATTGGTTAGAATTAGGCTCTTCTAATTATTCATGCAATTAGGAAATTAAACTTCTATGGTTGTACCTAGGGTTGTTTCCTGATTAGAGAAATAGTCAACGGTCGTACCTTGGCTATCGACAAATTGAGGAAAAGTTGGTTGTTTATCGCGTGTATGACAACTATAACTAATTTATCAGAAAGTAACTGAAATAATCCTTGTATCTGTGATCGAAATAAGTGAACCATCTCCGAAGTTGTCTCTTGGCTAGAGTTCGTCAATTATTATTTTTATTGTAATAATTAGTTATTTGAGTTGTAGTTATTTTATTTTATTTTAATTTATTCCAAGTAATTTAGTTACTCTCATTTTCAAAAATCCCCCATACTTCGGACTCTAAAAAAAATAAATTATCCCCAGTCCCTGTGGATTCGACCCTGATTATCACTATCTACAGAAAGTATATTTTGTTTGAGCAGGTATTTATTATTGCACAGGTTCGGCACCTGTCAAATACGGAAGCTTAATTGCAATGTGTTGCTGAGTTGATGATTGGAGAAACAACACAGCATCTTGATTGCACTTTCTTCCCAACTATGAACAAAAGACTAAGATTTGTAGCTTTTATTGGTCAACCAGAATCGCTAAAAAAGTTTCTGTCTGGACTTCCGAAGATGGAAGTTCTAATAAAGAGAATTAAATTTTAAGATCAAGGGTTTAAACTAACTAATTTTAATTTAAGGTTGTCTGGGGAGTAAAAAGTGCTGTTAGGTGTTTTACAAGCTTAAAGTGATAGATGTAGAAATCTCACTTTTTTTTTTTTTTTGGGGTCAAAAGTCATCCTTTTATATATGCCGTAACCTTGATAAATACAGAATCATACACAAACTAACTGGCAACTGCGAGGAATCACGTATTTGCCAGAAGGAGCAATAAGTTGCTTTTTATTTGCAAATGTAAGTTGTTGGAGCAAAGGCAGCAGAAACTGTAGAAAGGACTTGTTAAAACCTTTCTCCTTCACATTTTGCAGAACTTGTACTTTTGTCCAACTAAAGTTTTGCCCTTCAAACACAATCATCTTTCAAGTTTCCTTTATTCCATTCATTTGTAAACTTAACTTTATAATTGGGACCAATGAAACTGTAACCAATGAGCGACTTTGCAAATTTGCATTGTCCAAAAGGCTCACATTTGTCAAATCAATGGCGTAGAGACTGGGACGTTTCTGCTAGTCTTATCCACCACTTCTCTACATCCCACTTCACTGACCTCAGTCAATAGTGGAATGTGTAGAAGTTAGATATACAA